TGCGAACACCCAAACTTAAAAAGTTTGTGTCAAACAAATCATAGGACTTATAAATAAAGAAAAAATTGATCAAAACTTCTAAACTAGAAAGGTAAATTATGCAAACATAAATGGAATTTGTTTACGAATTCAAGTGTAATTTATTTTTAGTGGGTATAATTTTTTTTAATTGTGCGTAGGTAATCTTAATCTTTATGTAAAATGGAAGACATTTACCTATCTTTCACCACACATTGTAAAGAATCTATCTTCACTTATATGTGAAATAAAAATATTTACATAAATCTAAAAATATATTGCATATGATCGAAAAAAAGTTACACTCGCATACTTTTTCACAACTAATTTTCTAATAAGAAAATTTTTAACCAATTTTGTCATTAATAATTTCATTTCCTGAACTTCCTTTTTTTTTTTTTTTAAATCCTTGAACCTCTTTATAATGTTTTCTTATTATTTATATTCCATCAAACATCTAAGCGAAGAAATTTACTTTCCTTAATGGAATTTTTATATCACTCAAAATCCTTCCCTTGCCATCTGCCAAGTGTAAGCGGATTAACAGACCCTAATTTTCACAACGGAAAGAGGAAGTTCGATGAGACTGTGTTCTCCGGCTTTCACTTTTTGTCGCACAGATCACTTAGATCAGATGAAGCTGTGTTGAGGGAAAAAAAATCAGTAAGTTAATAGCGTAATTCAAGGATTATGTCATCGTCACCGAGCACAACCCCTACTCACCGGCATCCTCATCTCTCTACAGCCATGTTGTTGGACAGGGCCTTGTCTGCCCGGCGTGGCTCCACGTTCAGCGACGACGAAGACGATGGGGTCACTGCTTCCCCCGGCGACGAATCCAAGACCAAGAAACATCAGCATTTCTTTTTCCACGCCACCAATAGGGCTTCCAATTACCTCTCACGAACCGGCTCTGGTGCCTACTGTGTCTTTGCCCTTGCGTTTCTTCTCATCCTCTTCTTGTTCTCCTCTTTCCTCTTTAGTTCTCGAGGCTTCGTCTGCATCTCATCCTCCTATAGCCCTGTGTCTCGTGCTGGCTTCTTCGGGTTCGACGGTCTTGAATCGGATTTTGGAGCCCTTGGTGTGCCCTGGTGTGAGTGTCACTATGCATCTGATTTGATCTGTTTAATTTAGCAGTGCTGAATGTTATTTTGGGATTCAAGTGTTTGTGTTATTCGATTTTTTTGGTTTTTCATTTGGATCGGGGAAGACCGCTAGCTTGCAAATTTGCTGTGAATCGGCCTTTAGTACTTTTGGATTATGAGTTATTGAAGTTGCATTTGTGCCGTCTGAATTAGCTGTGATTGGCTCTTTGGGGTTTACAATTTTGGTTTGGCTTTAGTTGAAGGAGCATTGGACTTCCAAGAAAAGCTTGAGGAAAGTAAAATGAGTCCAACATTTAAATGATAATCACTTGAGTGTGTGAGCATGTATTTTGAGAAGAGACTTAGGTGTAATTGTAAATTAGTAGATGTATGAATTATTTTTGTTCTGTTCTGCATTTTCCACAAGAAGATTGTATGGAAACTGTGGTTTCAACATTCATGGCTAATCAGTTAAACATTTGAAGTTAGGAGTAGAACGTTGATTCATAATTTTTTGGGTATATTTCTTATTAATCGCATAGCTTTACTGAAGGTTGAACTTGCACTTAGTTATGGATAAATGGAGAGCAAATTCAATTATATTTTGAACATAAAATGCCAGTCATGAAATGATAATTTGATTTCCTTCTGTTTTGATATGATTAAGTACATGCGGTTTGATCTTTTTGGACACTTATACTCTTATTCTTGGTAAAGGCAGAACGAAACATGGTAAAAAGGTTGAGTGGACGTCAAAGGATCTGCTTAAGGGACTGGAAGAATTTGTTCCCATATATGAAACCCGACCAATAAAGAACAACATGTATGGGATGGGTTTTGATCATAGTTTTGGGCTTTGGTTTATAGCTCAGTGGCTGAAGCCAGATCTGATGATTGAGAGTGGTGCTTTTAAGGGACATTCAACTTGGGTTTTGCGACAGGCTATGCCTGACACACCAATTATCTCTATAACACCAAGGCATCCAGAAAAGTATCTCAAAAAGGGGCCTGCTTATGTTGATGGAAACTGCACATATTATGCTGGCAAGGACTTCGTAGATTTTGGAAATGTTGACTGGTCAAAGTAATGAAGAAACATGGAATTAGTGACCTTAGTCAAGTTCTTATATTTTTTGATGATCATCAGAATGAATTGAAAAGGTAATTTCTGGATCCTTGAGGAAGCTTGTTTGCATTGATCACTACTTCTGCTAAACTTGCCATAGCTTAATATTTTTTTCTTTTTTCCCCTTAAATTTTATGTTGGGCAGAATTAAGCAAGCTTTAAAAGCTGGGTTTCGGCATCTTGTTTTTGAGGATAACTATGACACTGGAACTGGAGACCATTATTCATTGAGGCAGATATGTGATCAATCCTATATAAGCGGTTTGTATTCACTCATTGTATTGTACTCCATGTTCTTTCTGTCAGAGTGAGAAACTCATGTAATCTTCAGTCCCCAGCGGAAGAGTTTCAATGATGTTCCATTTCCTATTGAGATTGATTTATCTCAATGATTTATGCTGGATGAGCTTTGCTGAGAGGAACAGAATCTTAACAAATTTTATCTATTCATTTGTTGATCTAGGAGGGGGCCACAGCTGCTTTAGAGATAGTGATGAAGCTAGGATCAGGTCAAGAAGGAAGAAATTCTGGGAGAAAGCTGTTGATATCGAAGAACTTTGCGGACCAGGAGATCAGTGGTGGGGAGTTAGAGGCTACATGCGTGATAACTTCAATCATAGTAATAAGCCAATTTCATATGCAGAACATTTTGAGAACAGCAGGTTTGTGGAATCAATCCTTGATGTTTACTGGGAACTCCCTCCAGTTGCTGGCCCTTCCCTCACCCATCAAACCAGATATGATCCTGCCCGTGCAACCAGTCCTATAGTTGAAGATGGCCGCTATGGTCTGTTCCAAAGGCTTGGTTTGGCCAGACTCGACAATAGTGTATTTAATGGGTATACTCAGATAGTTTATTTACAGATATCTGAAGAATCTAGATGAGTTTACGAGGAATTTTTATAGTGTATTTTGTATGAATTGTTGCTTCAGTTGATTAAGGCTTGATATGTAGTGGTTTCCCCACTTTAAATTCTTCGTTGACTGACCTTATCTTCTTTGTCTGGTTTAGTAACTCACTAACTTCTTTTTTCCGGCCCAAGGGGAAAAAAAAAAAAAACTTGTGCATGACTTAGTTGCCAATGGATGGATGTTTAACTAATATTACTTTCTTTTGTAATTCCTATGAGGTTTTGTCAACAAAACAAAGCCTATGGTCGCTTGCATCATCTTGGAAATTTAACTATTTCGAGCATGCCACAGGGCATGAGAACGGGTTGATCCAAGGAATGGAAAATTTTAGTCCAACGAAGCCCTACGATCCAAGGGAATGAAAATGTTGATCGATAAGTTAAATGGCACTCGAAAAGATAATTTTATAAGCAGATCTTGCGTCGAAGCTCGAAGGTGAGATAGCGACCGCATGTTCAGCCGTTTTAAGAATGAAACTTGACTCACTATAATAAATGTGAAGCTTAAGTTATCATGTCATGAGGTAATTCAGAATAGAGTAGGGTCTACTATTCACATCTCTTTGAATAGGGTGCTTTCATCATCTTCCCCTTTGATATGAGGGGAAATGATGGGGAGAAAAAGAGAAAATTTTAATGAGTTCTATTTAAAAAAAAAAAGTGGGTTTAAAAACTTCCAATTAATTTTGTTTATTTTTTTTTTATCTTACCTCTTCTCTTTATCAAAATTTTATAATTATATTTTTTTTATTTTTCAAATCAAGTTTATTAAAATTTTTCTCCGTCTTCCTTCCCCTCTAGCGTACCAAACATGGGGTTAAGATGGGCTTATTAGCTGATCAATTCTCATTCCGCAGGTCAAGTGCATTTCCTCTTCAAATGAACCCCCTTTCAGTTTCACGGTCACCTACTTTACATTCTACACCCTTTCATTTTTTGAAATTTAAATGATGGGCTCAATGTATCTAAAAGAGTGTTCCCATCAACAGAGGAATTAACATTGCTCTTTTGTATTGATGTATTACTCCCTCCGTTCCTTATTATAAGAGACATTTGGTGCTTATGGTATGTTCCTATATATAAAAGACACTTAAAAGTTGTCTCTACTTTTTTGTGTTGATTTTCTATTTTACCCATATTTATTGTCTCCAACTCACACTCTCTCTCCTTCCCACTTTTCTTTCTTTTAATAAACTACCATTGTTCTCTCTCATGTTCTCTCTCCTTATTAATGAGGGCATTTTTGAAAAAAAAATTATACTTTTTACATATTAATTGTTTTTAACTAATTTTAACTGTTTTTTTGATCAACGTAATTCGGTTATTCGTCTCTTATAATAAGGAATGGAGGGAGTATTGTTTACCACTTACTTATTTGTTTAAGGAATTCTCATTTTTAAGATAATCCCAGCAGGTTAGATATGTGTTTTTTCACATCTCCTGATCTCGGAAAAAGTTCCATTTTGTCCTATACCAATGCTGCATCTGGTACAATAACAATAACTCACTCTTGCAGTATCAGTAACGATGTGATCATGCGTGAATCTACTTAATTTAAGTAGCCGTATCTGTCAAACTTGTCACCGTAAGGATGTTTAACATTCTTTTGCATGGAAATCAGTGCAAAATTTTAGATTTAAAAAAAGGAAAGCAATGGCCCACATGGAAGCCATTGGACGTAGCTGTAATCTTCATTGCTTATTAAACCATCCACAACGTATAGCTTCTGCCATAATACCACACGCCATTCACAAACCCCACTCCTAGCACCACTTTTAATTCATAACCATCACCACCACTTTTGAAGAATCTTTTGGTATTGAAAGAAAGAAGAAGAAGACGACAAGATCAACGGCCTCAATGGACTCTTCCAACTCAACTGATGATACCCCATCTTTTTCTTTTAGAAGCTCAACTCAAACGGCTTTCTTGAGAAGCCATTCCACGAAAGAGCTTCCTTTCTCAGATTTCCCTCACTCGCCGCCTCGCCTTTCGTGTCCTACGCTTTCCCGGAGCCTCCAGGCGTCTCCTCTTTCCTCTCCTCTCCATCCTCGCACCACAAACACAAAGCTTTCTGATTCTGAAGAACCACAAACCACTTACCACTGTGCTTCCTCTGTTCTCAGAAAAGATGGTCAGATCCTGTCCATTTCACTGTCAAATAATGGATTGGTCTACACTGGTTCAGATTCAAATGTTATAAGGGTCTGGAAGCTTCCAGAATTCACAGAGTGTGGTCAGCTCAGAACCAAGGCTTGCAGAGTGGTGGCAATAGAGGTGTCAAATGATACAGTATTTGCAGCCTATGGAGATGGAAAGATTAGGCTTTGGAGAAGAACATGGGATAGGGTTTTGAAGCATGTTCGTTTGGGAACAATCCCGAAGAAAGTTGGATCCGTTCGGAGTTACATCCTGGGCAGAGACAAGACAGTAAGTGTAACGACGCCCTTGATTTCTGGTTTAGGTTAGCTTTTGCATTTATGGTTTTGTTGACAATGTTATTGTTGGGTGTTGGAACCCTTCATGTGCTTCATTATGATAGTAGATATAAGAGGGCATGCATGCAGGCTCAAGAGTAAAGAGGGATACGGTTTTTACTTTCTTAGCACGGAATTGATTTAACTCATGTCATGTTATTAAATTTAAACCATCATTTTCGTCCCCTATGTATCACAAAAATATGCAAAATACTCCAATTATTAATAACATTTTAGATAATCTATATTTTTTTTGTTATACATTAAAACATCTACGAATAGATATATCTTAGAGTGTACTTGATTTCACGTTGAAAACTATCAATCCTAATAATTTTTAGCGTAAAACCAAACACGATGTCAGAATAGTTTTCAACATGAAATCAATCACACTCAAATGCATTTATTTACTTAATTATAGACAAATCCTACATACTAATATATGTGAGGATATTGCTTTGAGTTAGTTGCTTCTTTTGTATAGTCTTTGCACCATAGCCTTGGTTTTTTTTTTTTTTTGACAAAGAAAATTGAAATACCCTTAACCAATCTTCCCATTGTATAGAACTTTGATAGTAATAGTTCCTTTGCAAACCAAATGTTGATTTCCATCCAGTTTAAAAGATCAAACAATCCTTAAGAAAAACTAGCCTTCACTTTTCACAAGTACAGAGGCACTCTGTTGTAACACTCATTCAATAGGTTGGATGGGTATTAATTAAAGGGGCGACAGAGTTTTTCTGAAATTGTCACAAGCATTACACAATGTTTTTATAAATGGTGGGAAGAGGTAGGGTCAATGCCATAGATTTCTGCATTTATTTATTCACTCTATTTATTACTATATATATATATATAGATCATTAATTCTAATTTTCCGCTGTGAATATACAATGAAGGCTCATCCAATCATCTTAGAATATTTTCATTGATGCCAAATTCATAGCCAACATGGCAATGTAATGAGGTATGATACACATCCATATACCAGGAGCTAAGACAGCGCTGTTCATAATTTGTGAGAATAAAGAGTGTTTCACAACAAAAGAAAAGGATAAAAATACACACATAAATATGTTGATGTAATTTTCACATTGCTTTTAATTTCTTCGATATTAACTTCATATTTTTTTTATTACTGAGTTCATATTTTTATCATAATTTCCTTCTGATAACTAATTTCTATCTCTGGTTACCTAAAAGTTAAGATTTCTCTGCAATGAGAGCCTTCTTCTTCGTGATAAGTTCATTTTCGCCTTTTGACAGATGAAGCATAAGGGGCAAATCACGTCAATGGCGGTCAACACAGCGGAGGACATTATATACACAGCTTCCATTGATAAAACAGTAAAAGTATGGCGAATCTCAGACTTGAAATGCATAGAGACCATAAAAGCACACGTTGAGCCCATCAACGCCGTCATCGTAGGAGACGATGGGGTTCTCTACACCGGCTCTGATGACGCAACTGTCAGAGTTTGGCGTCGGAATTTTTGCAGCCATGACACGCCTCATTCCCTCACAGTAACACTACATGCAAAGTGCTCACCGGTAAAAGCCTTGGCTCTAACCTCCGACGGAGGTGTGCTGTATGGTGGCTGCTCCGACGGCTACATCCATTTCTGGTTAAAGGGTTGGTTCGCTGGGCAACTCCAATACGGCGGCTCAATCCAAGGCCATACACACGCAGTGCTGTGCTTAGCCTGTGTGGCGAACTATGTAGTGAGCGGTTCAGCAGATTCCACGAGCAGGATATGGGAAAGAGAACAAGATGGTCAACACACGTGTTTAGCAGTCCTGGCTGGTCATAGAGGACCAATTAGGTGTATAGCAGCTTTTGTAGGAGGAAGATTTGGCGAAGATAGTGAGGATACTTGTAGTGTTTGTACTGGAAGCCTTGATGGAGTGTTGAAGCAATGGCGTGTGGCAAAAACCAACAAGTGGGATAGCAATCAATGTTCACCACAAAATGAGGGCGGCAAGTACTTTGAACTTTGAAAGAAGTTCAAAAAGTTCCACGAGCCAATTATCGTATAGCCTAATGGTATGAAAACTCTCATATAAGTGAAAGTTTATGAGTTTAATACCTCCTAAAAACGAAAACAATTGAGTTAGTAATTGCCAAACTTAATGTAATTTGAGCTACTAATTTTGCCATGGACAGAGATACATGATGAAATTTTACCTTTCAAAATATACCTTAAGCTTTAGCTCATTCTTCCAGCAGAGTCAACCTCACACCTTGTTTTTCTTTTCTGTTCCGGTTCCCCCCCCCCCCGGGGCACAGGGTGAAGCATCTGACATGTTCAATACCCAATTATGGTTGATTTTGGTATGTTTTGGGCGAACCAAGCACGACAGCTGCTCCGATTACCAAAGGAATTTCTTATAAAAAGAATCTGTATTCATGCCGCTTTTGTAAATAGTAAAAATTTTACTATCAATCATCATATCATAAACATGAATGTTTGAAAAGGACAATTAACCAATAGTCACACCCCCTCCTGGTCAATACAAAATTTTGCACTAATTGAGAAATTCTCTATTGACATGAGAAACCTTGCCATGACAGTTACCTTACACTCTCTATCTAGCTTCCGTTTGAATATGTTGAAAAATGCAGTCGGTGATCTTTTTACATCTCTAAACACCTGAGCATTCCTCTCTACCCACAAATGGTAAATGAGAGCAAAAATTGCAGCAAAAATCATCAATCTTCTAACTCTACTATACTTCCAAATGGATAAAATCTTAGCAGTCCACCTGTTAAATTTTTAAGGAAACTTCCTCGCTTGCAGCCAAAACCTTCTCTGAAACGGCATACTCTATATAAATGTTGAGTAGATTCAGCACATTAAGATTACCAAGTCTCATGATCAATCTTTTCAGCAGTTGGGCTAACCATAAATGATCCAATGTCATAACATAGTGGTCTCCTCAGTGAGTATAACCAACGCCAATAACTTCAAAGAATGCATTCATTAAGAAGCTGTACTTACAACATCTACAACATCATCAGACTCATCAACAATCATTTCGTCTCTGAAAAGCAATTTCAAATACGGAAGAACCCTAGGAAGCACAGGCAAATCTGCTATATTGATGCTCATCATGTCAAATGCAACACAAGTTTTGTGCATGTGTGTTTCATCAAATACAGGAATTTTGGGGTATCTTTGGCTGAAGTGAGTAAGCACGATTCGGTATGCATTAGCTGAGTCTCCCACTTCCACAGCTTCTTTTGTGGTGCTGTGGTTCCTTGATATGGCCTCCTCCAACAAAGCATCCTCAAAAGTTGCCTGCATATCAAAAGCAAAAAATTAACATGAAATTGATGGGCACGATCAATAAAAGATAGGTAACTTAATCACAAAAAATATGCACGAAGGAATCAAAGGTGGACCCCATTAAAAATATCGAAGATGAAGTTGTTGTGAGATAATAACCATATTCTTAGACTCAATTCACTACAGTAGAAATGGCTTGAATGGTGCTGAACAGGCCTGTTCCCGTCATATAAATATATATATTTTTTACATCAAAATAATAGCTGAACTACAAATTAAAGCAAGAAAAAAATGAGCCCCGAGTCTGAAAATTGTAGTTAGGCGATGTAAAACTATAGTTTTACAACTAGAGACTAAAAGCTAAATCACATGGATGCCCCCTGGTAGTTTTGTTAATAATTCGCCGACCTGAAATAAAAACTGCAAGATTTTAAGCTTATGTGTTGCCACTGGACCTGCAATGCATAACATAGTTATGATTCAGAAACAAACTCTTGCTCTTGCCAGCAAATCACTTTCTTTGCGATTCCCACTTGGAGAAGATGGGCAAGAGCATATTTGAATCTAATGTGACTTGCCCCAACGGACCTTGTTTTCTCAATAAAAAGCACTCACTTAACACTTCCCGTCATTTCACAGTCAGTAAGGTAAAAGACATACCTCATGTATAAGAACCGTAGCACCTCGAGATGCTTCTACTAACTCCGGGCAGGGTCTAGTGTCCCCAGAATACACAATCTTCCAACCAGGTATTACTTTCCCAACACTATTAACCCTCTCTGCAGCTTTCAGAACAACACCAAATGCCTGAGGACAATGTACAACAGGGAAACTAGTCAAGGATTCCAGACCAGCTTCCTGCATAACCCTCTTCAACTCCTTTATGATAGGATAAATCACATTCTTGTCAACTGGACTACCCGGTCTTTTAAAATAGCTCTGCATACGAGATCCTTTAGCAAACAAAGTTGAATCAACTTCTGGTGCAGTCATTTCATTATCATTTTTATCTGGTCCACCATCTTCATAAGCTCCCAACGAAGCTATTGTGGTGTGCCTGCAGTCGAGAAACTGCATATCTAAATCTTCAAGTCTTTGATATGCGTCCAAATATCTCTTGAGCTGCCTTGGTCCTACAACAAGCACTGGTTCATGAGGAACCCCCTTCAACAAATCACGCCGCAAAGCCAGTATTCTGGCCAGGCCAGTATGGTGATCAGCATGTATATGAGAAATCCAAATACACCTCAAAGATTTTACAGCATCATCAGCGCCATCTACACCATACCTGTTTTCAAGGATATAAACCGACATATGTTAGATAATTAGATTAAATCTTCAAACAAGTACAGTGTTATAAAGGAATATTAAAAAAAAAAAAAAACGTTCAGACTTGCCTTCTTTTAAGTTGACCCAATGTTCCTTCTCCACAATCCAAGAGTAAGCCCCCTTTTGAAAAAAGATTTATATATATTGCGCTCACATTTCGATATTTAGATGGTTGGGATGAACCGGTTCCAAGAAGAACTATCTCCAAGTCATCTCTTCTTATATCTTCCAAACAACTAGGAACACCATCTGCACACAGCCATGGCTCTTCAACCAGTATCTTACGATCTGCTATAGGAGTATCATCCTTTGTTTGACTGGACTTCAAACAGAGCTGGTTTACATGTTGGGCTGCCTCAACAACCTCAGGAATTTGTGAGAGTAACTCTTCAATGATTTCTGAGGTACCCATAGTAGTTGGAACAAGAGATCTATCGAACCCAAGATGAGCATAAGGACGCAAAATGAACTGTAAAACATAGAGTGACATTTATAAAACGTGTTGGCAGAAACCTCCTATTTGTTCATAAAGGCATCAAATGTGGCACGGCCTTAGAGATATGGCAAGAAGAAAAGGCAAACCAGAAGATTACGATCAGATAACAAATTATTATCAAAAGGACATTGAATCACCATGTCTTGAGAATGGAAGGGTCTTGAACCTTAATAATTTGTTTGGGCCATGAGAAAACTTGATGAAGAAAAGAGATTTTTTTAGAGTCAAATGGTCAGTCATATGGGTTATTTTTCTAAGGCATCAATTAAGGCACATATAAAGAATAATCTTAATTACTATTTATTTTATTGGCTTGAGCATGTAATTTTAATTTCCATCTAAAAACCTCTAATTATAGAGGCCATTGAACAATAGAATAAAGTATGTTCATGTTGTTTCTCTTTCCCTTTCTTAGTTTTCCACTTGTTTCCTCTCGCCCCTTATCTCTATCTATTTCTCCACATTTTCTTTCCCTTCTATTTCTTTTTATTAACCCCTTTCCCCAGCAAGTCCAACATCAAAACCACCCTCCCAAGGTTTTCATGAAGAATAGTTTTCTTATATTCTTTCTTGGAATATTCTTCCAAGAAAAAAACAGAAGAAAATTGCTTAAATTTTCTATTTTATAAATTTAATGATATTATTAAGACTCGGTTTGCAGCAATAGTGATAATCATTATTCATTTCAGAGGTGATATGTTTTTATTTCATGAAAGTTATCAACAAAATCTATTCATTAGCCACTTGTACTTTAAAAGACATGGATTAATTCGTGCTTCTCAGACTCCAATTCAGAAGAATGATCAATTACAATCTTGTCATTAGCCATTGGAAGATTGAAAGACATGGTTTCATTCAAATAATGCTTTAGACACCAGGATTTTTTTCCCTATGCAACAACTCCAGGAATTTTATGATGCGAGACTTCAGCAAATTAGTTTATCGGAGAGTCAAGTAAATGTTTCATACCTTAAGAAGATTTTCAGCAGAAATGGTTTCGCAAAGTTCCAAAATAGAATCCTACAAGAGAACCAAATTAAACAATATTGTAGTTCATTTACGTCCTAAATACCATTCTCTAGAAAAACACAGAGCAAGTACATTGTAACGAACCTCCCTTGAGGCAGAAGAATCTGATATTGAGGAATTATGACTTGAAAGGGACCAAAATCCTGGTGCAGGAAAGAACTGAGGACACAAGTAATTGAGTCGTGCAGCAATTCTTGCACTAGATTTCAAAATTGGAATCTCTACATTTTTCCTGAAAACAGTTTCATAATCAAGGAGTAATAACTCAAAGCGAGTGAACAAAAAGAAAGCATTTTTAAAGATGACTAACAGCTAACCTTTCATGCCCAGCTATGATATGTTGTGTAGAACCAAACTTCTTCATCCATTTTTGGTAATTTGCACAACTAATCATCGATGCAGGACTTAAATGAATTATACACGTGACACTCTTGCCCATGGAATCAGCATAATAACTAGAGAGTGATTGAACGGACAGTAATGCTTCCAAATGTGATTCAGTTGGGCAATCAACGAGAAGGACTGTGGGACCAGGAACTGAGGGACCCATGACATCACTTGGGTGAACCTGTTATGGAAGATAAAATTACACATTAAAGTGGGCCTAACATCAAAATAAATAAATTAAATCATATTTGAGCCATTGAAATATTTCCCAAGTTCTCATTTTCTTTGTTCTCCAATACTTCCACCTAGCTTCTGGTAAATGAACTGCTTCAACTTTGGGACTTACCATAATATTTTGCCTATCTGATTTCACTGAATTCCCAAGTTGCAGTTCACGATATTTTGGCCCAGGTTTAAGACCAAAGGCCTTGGCTTTCTCTGGATCAAACTTTCCTTTGATCTCAGGCAATTCACAAATATATAGTACAGACATATCACCAGGCTTTCCAGTAGGCTGTTTTAAGGTGTTGGATGAACCAAGATGCTCTGGGCTATGACTCATCCTCTCTTGTGATTGATTCGCTGAAGCTACCAAGGGTGAACTTTCAGAGTGGTTTGGTTGTAAAATAATGGCTGATATTTTGACCACCTCATTATCAACAAGAACAATAGGATCTGAAAACTTATTTTGACCTAGAATAGTGGACTCATCAGTGTTGGAGATGGGACCAAAACTCCTTGTGTGAACCATGGCAGCATTGGGAATAAAAGATCCCATAGCATCTATCAAATATTTAAGATCTGAGGGCCCCCATATGTTGACCTGCAGAATAGCAGTGACTATGAACCACCAAAAAATGAAAATACAATGCAACATTCCATATGAAAATAAGATATGGATGGTAATGAAGTTCATTGGTTACTTACAGTCATCCCCTCTTCTCCCATGCCAGCCAAAGTAAGTAGTAAGCCTGTGCATTGAAGACTATAATAAGTACTTTAAGACTCAACAAAAAGTTATTTGGATCACCAATCAAAATATTATCGAAGATGCTAATCTAGAACAGGTAACAAGTGATAAGAATAACGACTAAAGCTACTACATTGTCAAATGTCAAATGTCAAAGACAGACCTGGAAGCCCACCCGCAGTCTCTGAAGAGACACGAGAAAGAAAAATGTGATCTATCTGAGGGAATATAAAAGATTGAAAGAAACTTATTGTGAGTAACTATGTTAGCATACTGATAATTAACAATTGTAAAATAACAATTCTGAGAAGGAAAAACGTCAAGTTCCCGTATTTATCAAACCTTGGATAACTTGATCTTGTGTTCTGTGCAAAACCGTTGCAGTCCCTTAAATGCATAAAATACAATTAGTTTATCGAATGCTTGTAGGTGGTCATCAAGTTTCCAAAGACAAATATAAAATAGAAAAATAACTTGTTACATTATATTATCCAAAACATTCGCAAATATCACCTCCTCAGATTAAAGTGATACATTAAACTTTCACCCTCTAATTTTAAGCCCTAAGGCCAAAGAAAGGCATTTTCTCTAAATGTCCAAAAATATATTTATACTTTCTAAGATCTTGGACACAAGCCCCCCAACAGGAAAAAGAGACAGAAAAATTGCCCCTCAGAAATAATAGGCAAAATGTGAGCAATTCAGATTTTATATTGAAAAAGAAAAAAAGTATCATAGAATTTCATGCATATACTACTTACTTCTCCAGCATTAAATATAAACCTTTGATTGTCAAAGAAAAGTAGGACTGAAGGCGATGTATCTTGAGTATCCATTCCCGTACCTAATATCTGTGGTCGGCACAAAATACAAAAAGAATATATGAGAACAGGGGGAAAACTTGCAAGTGAAAAATGAAAATAACACGGAACCAGCAAAACCACACCCTCTTTTACAATGAAAATTAGCAACTTGCTTTGTTAGAGAAGAAAAAGAGCAAATTTCTGTTGCAAAATCAAAATGGGGATGCATTGACCATGTTGAACAATTCAGTTTCTTGTCATTCGATCAATCCTAATTAATGCCTCCAGAAAATTAGGATTGCTGCTAGATTATTGAAGGGAAGGAGCTTTTTAGTTCCTTTCCGGAGGCAGAAATGCCAGGCCCAAATGTATCCTTATATATTATATATGTATTCTATGAGAGTGAGAGAATCATCATAATTAAAACAGCAAGAACTTTGCTGCCACTAACAATCTTAAGTAGCATTACAAAATCCGAAACAGAATATGCAAGACCAGGGGGGAAATTGCAAGCGAAAAGAACTGCTTTCTTCATTATGGAAGACAAAGGAGTAAATTTCTGACAGAGACATCCCAAGTAAGAAGTGTGAACATTAAAATCAAGCATTCTCAATTTGCATAGAGTACCCAAATCAAATTTAAGACTAATGAACGAACTTCAGACTTTGTCATATGACAAAATGTAGAACCCTAAAAACAAATGCTCAAATTTTTGCCCCGCCAATCCAATACTAACAGAAAAGATTTTGGATAACCTATCAATGGAGTATCCTTTCAGGCAATATGAAAGTAACCAATTTCTACAAAAAGAAATACCTGTACATAAGATATGGTATTGACAGGATTTAGCTTGCGAACTTTCAACTGTAGGTTCTTCTTAGGCAAACCACTTGAATCTCTACCCTCAGCTCTTCTCTTGTTGAAGCCAACAGAGTCAACGTTCTCCATTGCTGTGTCTTTTCCCCTGTCTTTGGTTTCTCTAGTACTACTACTGCTTCTGCGGCCAAGATGACGGAAAGGGGCGTTACGGCGTGGTCTGAAAGAGGAGGAGGAAGCAAGAACAGTGAAGAGAGATTGCGAGGTTCTAGGTTTGAAAAATAAGCGAGAAGAAAGAGAAGGAGTTATTAAGGGAGCTAGAGAGGGAAGAAGGAGGCGAAATGTTGAAGCTTGGGGCATTGTGGTTCATCGGACTCTTAAATCTGCCCGGAGGGTTTTAGACCTGCAACGATAACCTGTTAAGATCCCGCCAACACGTCTCCGGGTTCCTGCTAAACAATAAATCTCAGCCATACATCCAATCGAAGAGCTCACAACGGACCACGCCCCACGGCTTTAAAATTTCTTCTGGCCCGTCTGTTTTGAAACAATCCAACTGAGAATAGAGAAAATATTTTCTTAATGTTTATTAATAAATTTTAGCCATTCAATTTATATTATACCAATCTATGAGGTTCTGTTTATAAATTCAATAATTAATAAGATAAGATGGATTATATACTTCATTTTTTCAGTATAAGTAATAACATGTGTCAGTAAAAAAAAAAGTAATAACATGTGGGATTTTTTTTTTGGTCAAAGTAATAACATGTAGGATTGAATTCATGATTGTGCCAACAAAGATAAAGAGGGTGTCATTAGGCAACTAGGCTATTTTGCCATTGACTAATATCAGATAATAGTTTGTTAAATTTTCGCAGAGGGGTTCAGTTTTTTCTGTTTTAAAAATTTAGTTTAAAGCGCAATCAACGTAGGCTGGAGTAGCTCAGTTGGTTAGAGCGTGTGGCTGTTAACCACAAGGTCGAAGGTTCAAGCCCTTCCTCTAGCGTCTTCTAATGTTTTTGGTTTTTTCGCTTCCAATCCACATTCCCCAGCCCATCTCTTCAGGCATATCCGATAAGGTACTGAAAGGCTAAAAGCAACCACATGGCATCTCTCCTGCAAACCGAAGCCAAATATCCTTTCTTTGGCAAATTTGAAAAGCCAACCTTTTCCTGTCCTCAAAATATCAAAAATGGGACTTCTCAATCTCCAACTCAGCTCTCACTCTTCATGCGCTTTATCACTATCCCAAAACTTGAAAAACACCACAAAAGCTAACAAATCTCTAAATGCTTTCAACTCTAAGCGTCCGAGCTCTGCCAGAGCCACAATTAGAGCTGTCGGCACTGTCCCAGAGAAGGAATCTCAGAACACTGAACCAGCAGAACCACCCTCTATTGGATTTGCATTTGTCAGTGTAAGTCTGAGAGAGTATATGTGAATTTTACATTGAAAGTTAGCAACTCACTTTATTACAGAAGAAAGAGCAAATTTCTATTACAGAACTTGATGGTAAAAGAAAATTCTGTTACAGAAGAAAAGGGGAGGTAATGATCATGTTGGAGTTTTCAGTTTCTTCTCATTGGGTCAATCCTCATTTTCTGGGTTTGTTTTTAGTCTGTTTTGCTCCCAGATGGAACCCCAGATGTGCAATATCGAACGGCTTGTGGAGGCCAGAAGCTCAGGAACATAATGCTGGATGCCAATATTGATCTGTACGGACCATATGTAAGCCTTGAAATATCTCTCACTTTATATAAATCAATCAGCAATCAATGTATGCATCTATTTTAGTTTGCTAAATTACAAGTATATGACGTTATTAAACTTGTGTGCTTAAATGATAAATGGCATAACAAGAGTAAATTGAATTCGAGAGAAATCACAAGGATAAACTATAATTTAGTTGTAATCATATGTTTTCTTTCAGGCAAGACCTCTCTTAAATTGTTCAGGAGGTGGAACGTGTGCAACATGTATGGTAGAGGTAGGTAAATAACTCGTATTGAACTTCGAAGAAGAAAAACTTCCATTAGTAACATTGGCTGCGATCATACTACCCACTAGTGATTAACTTGCTGATTGCTGCTAGATTATTGAAGGGAAGGAGCTTCTAAGCCCTCGCACTGATAAAGAGAATGAAAAACTTAAGAGGGTAAATGTTTTGCTGCTCATGTTGATTTTGTCTCTAGCTTAATTTTCCCTTTAGTTCTATTTGTTGAGCCCATCATTGTGTTGGGAAGATAATAATTCTGTTCAATGGGTGTTTCAGAAACCAAAGAATTGGAGATTAGCATGTCAAACAACAGTTGGTCAAGCAGACTCTACAGGGATGGTTTGTGATTTTTGACTCTCATACTATTTAATATTCCTAAGCATTTGTAGATTGGACTTTTCATCTTAAGGTTCATCTTATCACACAAGAATAGCTCTAATAGATGAGAGCAAATAAACGCTTTGATTGTTTTGGCTCTCATGCTATGTATTTAATACTTTCTTGTATGTGTTGGATGCAGCTTGTGGTTCAACAACTACCGGAATGGAAAGGGCACGAGTGGAAATATGATAAGCTATCTCCTGAAGAGGCTGAAAAGTTATTGTCTTCACCTGAGACTCAGTAGCATAAAACAATTAAGGATAGGGCTTTTTCTTGTAGTAATTGGTGCTTATGAAGAAAATCCTGGAAACGTGTTATAAAGAGTAGTATTCTTCTGTTTTAAGGCTCTTCAATCAAGAAATATGATGAAATAAAACAGAAGAATCTGAGGCTTGGCACAATCTTAAGTAGCGTCTCATCCATTTGAACTTTGGTTCGGTTAGGCCGTTAAGGGGAGTAATTGGCAACTCATCTGCACTTTACACGAATATTTCTATATAGGATTTTGGGGGTATAATAATTGACAGCTTCACCTGTAATTTGTACCAATATCTCAATATCCCCATGCATAATGATCCATCTCGAGCAGTTGTGAAGTTATTTACTACCTCCGGTGTAAACGAGATCTTAACCGGAAGAATTATTAACTGATCACGACAGCTCTTTGCCCTGAAGAACGTACCAACCCACCAGTTGCAATAATTCATAAAGAATTAATAAGCCTGTTTATTAATTTAAGAGTTGGTTTGGCATCTAATTCGGTTCTAAATGAGATTTCAATTTACTTTATCTCTTATATTTATCTATTTTTTTCTAAAATAGTCATTATGATAGTTGTACATTTTAAATGTTTCATCAAATAGTAGTTCTAACTAAATAGTTCCATATGTTGATATTTTATGATTTCTTTAATTATATATTTATTGTTAAAAGAAAAGAGAACCATAAACTGATCATTACCCACAATGAGTATGGAACTGGGACAGGAAAAAGGAAAGGAAAAAGGAAAGGAAAAAGAAGAATGCAGCTCAACCATCTTTACAAGTTCGAATCAAAACAGAACAGAAAGACCCAGTACAAAAGAAAAGGAAAAGAAAAGGAAGGAAAATCAAAAGAAAGATGGCTTTCCTCCTTTTCTTTATTTCAGAAAAGCACGAATTTTTTCAAGCCCCACTGGTTCAAAACAAATCAGTATTCACTAGCCAGAGGAACGTGCTCACTGGTCATGAACACATTGCCGTAGATGAGACCGGCGAGGCCACCGCCGACCAGGGGTCCAACCCAGTAGATCCAGTTGTCGTGGAAGTCGCCGCTGACCACGGCGGGGCCAAATGAGCGAGCTGGGTTCATTGAACCACCGGAGAATGGTCCAGCGGCCAAGATGTTAGCTCCGACGATGAATCCAATGGCTATGGGTGCGATTGTGCCCAATGAGCCCTTCTTGGGGTCGGCTGCTGTGGCGTACACTGTGTAGACCAATGCGAATGTGATGATGATCTCCATCACTACTCCTTCACCAGCTCCAACTCCTGCAGCTACGCTGTGGATGGGGATCGCCTGACAAGAAAGAAATCACAATTTTTGTTCATACTTGAGCCAAAAACGAAGTAGATTAAGACTATTTTCTTGCTTCATATTCAGATTTCTATGATATGCGACTATCCTCTTGTTTTCTGCATGAAGCTTGTGGTTCAAGTTAGGGGATTTACAAGAAAATTCTTCATTACTAGATCAAGCTTTTGGCATAGTTAAGTTAGCTATTTTATTGAGAAAAAAGAGTGACTGAAAAGGGATGGTTTGAGGTTAAGACTTACCAAGCCTCCAGTGACGAACTTGAGGAGTAAGCATGCCACAATGGAGCCAACAAGTTGAGCAATCCAGTAGAAGATACCAGTGAGGATGGTGATCTGGCCACCAAGAGCCAATCCGAAGGTGACAGCTGGGTTAACATGGCCACCTGAGATGTTGGCACCAACAGCGACGGCCACAAAGAGAGCAAAACCATGGCATACTGCAATTGCTACCAAACCAGCAGGGTCAAGAGCTGCATCTGATGTCAACTTCCCTGCATGACACAAAACAACACAAACAAAATTGTCAGAATTTCGAGGGATTTAAGGAAGAAGAACAAGCTGAGGTGTTTATTTTCAAGACATCTCTCTCAAAGTCAAAGTGCCTGTCAGAGGATTCATAATTGATATATGCGAGTGTTAGCAGTTAGTACCATAGGCTATGGCTGAACCAACACCAGCAAAAACAAAGAGCAAGGTGGATATGAACTCAGCGACATAGGCCTTAATGGAGGCCGAGTTGAAAGAATCATCAAAGCGTCCGAAAGATATGCCTGCCATCTTTCAGAAGTTTCTAGGGGAACCCTTAAAAGACAGGAAAGTGAAATATTCAGAATAAGGAATGCTGCTCAAAAGGTCTCTCTGGTACGACATATATATATGGTAGAAATTACCAAGAAGAGTATTAAGGACTTACCATAGCTTCATTAATATTACTGCACTGTAGTGTATGTTTGTTTGGAAGTTGAAAAGGAATATAGTTACATGGCCCAGGCAAAAAATAAAGGGAATATGGTTGGTTTACAACATATCCATGCACATCCAATCAGGATTTTCTGGCAACCTTAGCTGTCACTAACATGCTTCTATTAAAAAAAATGTCTGGAAGCTAATAAATTATTCCTCCATGTGCATACAAGATAGGGATAGAAGTGGTGTTCGATCAACTAATCATGAAAGAACATGAAAGTGGATGACATGAATAGCTTTGGGCCACATATAGCATAGACATGCCCTAAAAACATGGCAGAGGTAGTGGAAATTAAAAATGAGTGGATATAAATTGATGAGGTTTTTTTAAATAATGAATCATGTTACAGAAATGTTTGGCTTTGTTTGTGTAATGCAAAGCAGAACTTTACCACAAAAGAAGATCGGTTTTTTCCCATATGTGATTCACTGATTCTCTGGTGGTATAGACAAAGATTGAAGTTGAAATGTCTGCTATTGAATGTTCAGTTAGATCCATGCACCAACCATTTTGAGCTCAGTCTTTGAACAAATTTTTGAGCGAGGATCAACAGTAAGAAATATTAATTTTTATATAGTGGAATTTCTTGAATAATGTATGACAAATAGTAGTTGATGAAATTATTTAAGAATACTAAACTATAAAATGCAGCAGCACAAAAAACTCGACCCCGAAGTTTCATTTAGATTAAGCACACCAACTCATCAAAGAGTTATGTCTGATGCAGAGAAGGTGAGACTTTTCCATATAATGCCATTAAAGCAGCTCATGTTTGTCTCAATTGCTGTTTATGGGCCACAATTTAATTGGAATCTCTACCTGGCAACCATTGTTAGATAAGATAAACTAATCAAAAACTCATAAGCTAGGAACATCTAATTTATTTTTTTAAAACCAATAGCTGATTACTTGTCTGTTCATGCATCATAGATTAACTTCATCTAGTTTTGCCTCCCTTCCAAGTTTTTTCAGATCATAATAGTCAATTCGAATTTGAACTACACATGACAGCGAATTCAGATATAAATTTTTGGCTGATGATACTACCTCCCTCTTTAATATAAAAATTTGTTTGACTTTTAATTTAGTCATAAATATAAGATCCTAATCCACTTTGTCTTTCATATTTATCTTTTTTTTTTTTTAAAGATAGCCCTTGTAATAATAGTAGTTTTAACCAATACTCTTAATTAGCAAACATATTTTAAGAAAGACAATACCTATTTATTATAAATAACTAACTTAACTAATTTTTTTAATCTACTCAAATTAGTCAATTAGCTCTTATATTAAGGACCAGAAGTAGTATAATATACTCCTCCGATCCTAAATTTAAGACCCTTGTTATAAGGGTCTTATATTTAGGAACGGAGGAGTAGTTTTGAACGGTGGTATGCTTGTGTTTTGTAATTCAAGTATCCAGTGAACCTCATTTTGCCATGGCCTTCATTATTTCCGGTGTTGCCCGATCTCATTCTGTGCGCAAATGTAGGGGTCAAAAACAAAATAATCTGGGTATTTTCCTTCGAGTTTCATGATCAACAACGAGTGAAAGGCTTATCTGTCATAAAAGTCTGATATTTTTTTAATTTTTAATTTTGGTTTTATGTGCCAAGTACATGAAGAGTGATGATTAGGATCCAATCTGATGCAAGACACATGGTCATGACTCATTGGCCCCCCAAAAAAAAAAAATTTGAATAATACGTGAGAGTCATTTCCGTTCAGAAAACTTGCAGCAATTCAACAGCATGGGCTTGTGATCCCAACTTGTAGCAAAACAAAGGTTTAGCCGAAGGAGCGGATGCCTAACTAGGCTGACAAAAAGTTTAGACAGAAAAACAATTAAGAGCCTGTTTGGGTGCTCCAAAACCGTAGTTTCAGAAGTACTTTTCCGTAAAACGAGGTAACCTCTTCCACATATTTACTTCGTAATCTGTAAAAACACTTCTGAAACTATGGTTTGGTTTTTATCCAAACACTCCCTAAGTGTTGGCCCAATTGGTGGGGCTCTTGTGATGTTCTCGCTCCCAATAGAAGTTTTACTATTTTCAATTCAAACTTCTCTACCAATAGAGTTGAATCTAACCAAAAAAAAAAAATTAGTCCCTTATAATATAGTAAACTAAAATTCAAATTCCCATTCAGGTGCTCGTATTTAGTACCTAATAATACCTAGAATAGGATTACTTCTAATAAGAGGATACTTGTGTTTTAGTCAAAAAAATTCAAACTTCTCTCATTTTATCTCTTACGTATAATACGGATGAAGACGAAAGAGAACAAAAAGTTTCACATTACAGATTATACCACGGTTCTTCTTACTGTAAGGTTTCTATTTTTTGCAGCGTTCCATCAAGTTTAAAAAATAAGACAAGTCAAATTGATTGGGACTGGAACGAGACATAACTAAAAACCCCCCAAAATTTATTTTAATACATTGATTGAACTTGTCATTTCAACAAAGTTTTTTAAGTGATTTTTAACATTGACAACTTGTTGATAAAATATTGATAAGTCGTGGTTCATGACTTCATATTATGACAATTTATTTTTTTAATTATCGAGAAGTTGTGATGTGGATTTAGATGAAGTTGTGATTTGTGAACATTGATGACTTGCTCTTAAAACATTAACAAATTTTAATTTGATTTTGATAAGTTATGATTTAACAAGTCTCTGAACAGAAACTTCTTATTAAAATGTTGACAAATTGTTACAGATAATTTATAGCAATTTTTCTGAAATAAATAACTAATACAAATAGTTTTAGATGCTGACTATAATATGCACACATATATTCCTTTTAAGCCCAGGAGTTATCACTCCAACGGCTGCCTGGGGTCTGGTGATATTTTTTTTTCAAAGAATGAACGATATTTTAGTAACTTAACAACAAAAATTTAATTCTAGTAGTCCTTTGATGTACAAAATAATTTCAGATTAAATTAAGATTTCTTGACAGTTACATCTTTGTCATGGAATTTAAACATGATTCTCCTGATATTTATGTATAATATAAAATTTACCAGAAGCAGTGGCATTTTTTGGCACAAAGTAATACTACCTATGGTTTTTAATATAAAATTTTGTTTGATTTTTATTTTAGTCCTAATTATAAAACCTTAATTCATTTTGTCTCTCATATTTATGTATTTTTTTTTCAAAATAGTCCCTCTAATAATGATTGTTTTAGTCAATAAATTTGAGTAGTAAGAATATTTTAGGAAAGACAACATCTATTTATTACAAATAACTAACTTAACTTATTTTCTTAATCTCCTCAAATTAGTCAACTAGCTCTTATAATTAGGATCGGAGGTAGTTTTATACTACCTCCACTCCTTAATATAAGTACTAGTTTGACTTTTAATTTGTTTCTAAATATAAGATCTCTATCTATTTTGTTTTTCATATTTATTCATTTTTTCTAAAGTAATTCTTGTAATAGTTGCACATGTTAAATGTTTTATCAAATAATACTTGATTAACAAGAGTATTTTAAAAAAATAATACATATTTATTAAAATTAACTAACTTATCTAATTTTTTTAATCTACTTAAATTAGTTAACTAATTTTTATATTAATTAGAAGAGGTACTGTTAGTAAAAAGTAATTTTTAAATACACCATCTCTTAATCCTAACTAACGTGCTCGGCGATCGTTGAACGAGCGTTCCCGGGTCAACTTTCAATGTTAAACTTGCATGCTTGTGAATCACCGACTGCGCAATCCCGATCGGTTCTTGGAGCCTGAAACTGTCGATACTGGCGCGTAAAGGCGGAAAACGTTCTCTTCATCATCGTTTCATTGCTCTGTACCTCTCCGTGTTGCTGGTTTTTCTTCATTTATTCTCTTGTCCCATCATCGTGAAATTCGTGATTTTTTTTATGAATTTCCTAGACATTGCGGTCTCCGTTTGATTCGTTTAACGCTTGGTTAGCACGAAATCTCGGGTTCTCAGATTCCAGGTTCCTTTTTACGTCCTGGGTTTCATTTTCTTAATCGCCTCTCTTTCCTAACGATCGATCTGCTGCTGTTGAATATCAATCCTACTGGGTTGCAATTGCATGGGATCGAAGGTTAACATTTTTGGAAATTTAATCGCCTTTGGATTCTTGGTTCTCTGTATTTAACTTAGTGGGTTGGGCGAATTCTGTTGGACCAATTTGGAAATCATGGATTCGAGTCGGAGAGCGGTGGAATCATATTGGAGGTCGCGGTTGATTGATTCAGCTACGTCCAACGAAGACAAAGTTACGCCGGTGTACAAATTAGAAGAAATTTGCGAACTTCTGCGGTCTTCGCATGTTAGCATTGTGAAAGAGATTTCAGAATTCATTTTGAAGCGGCTCGAGCATAAGAGCCCAATTGTAAAACAAAAGGTTCATTTGTTCTTGCGATTTTTATTTCCTTGCTAAACTTGGGGTCAAATTTTTGTATAAGATGGATTTGGCTGATTCGCGGTTGAACTTTTTAATCTAGAGCTCTTTAATGTCTGATTAAGAGTAGAGGACGAGATTTATTCCTTCGGTTTCATGTTATTGCAATGTTGCTGCAGCTGTTGTTGTTATTGTTTTTCCTCGGGGTTAAAAGAGGTTTTCGATTGAACTTTGAGTACCTTGATTGTAGAAATTATTTCCCTTGTCTACAGCAGTTTAATCTTCCATTAAGATTCGAGACTGATAGTTAACTATTTGTGTCACTCTACTCTGAACACACTATTTCTAAACTGAGTGGTTGCCCTGGGTAGCTCAATTCTATTTATTATGATGGGGAAAATGACAGGCGATAATGGGAAGGATAAAGAATCAGCATCGAGGGGATGGTGTCTTAAATTGTGCCTTAGAAGTGAGAAGTCATGCCATTGATCTTTGAACTCATTAAGATCTACTTCTTTGCTTTATATATGTTGGCAGGCTTTAAGATTGATAAAATATGCAGTTGGAAAATCAGGTGTGGAGTTCAGAAGGGAAATGCAGAGACATTCAGTTGCAGTTCGCCAGTTGTTTCACTACAAGGGAGAGCCGGATGCTTTGAAAGGTGATGCACTAAATAAGGCTGTGCGAGACACTGCTCATGAGGCTATCACTGCTATATTTTCTGAGGAAGACAACAAGCCATCACCTCCTGAAGCTAATAATAGGCGGATACAAGGGTTTGGGAATACAAGCTTTGAAACAACATCAGAAGATAAGAAATCCTTTCTCAGTGAGGTAGTTGAAATTGGAAGTGCATCAATCAAGCTAGGACTTAGTAGCCTAACACAGGGACATTCACTAATGAAGAATGAAACCGGAAGCTATAAAAGTCCAAATCTTCGAAGGTCACTGAGCATAGAAACAGAACATGGTGACACATATCAACCAGTTAAATATCATAATGGAAGTCAAAGCACTTTCAGATCAAACAATCAATCTAGTGGTCCTTGGACCCAGGATTCCAAAATTATTAAAATGGAAGTATCAAATGGGGATTCCAATGCAAGTCATTTAGAGAGTAAAACACGAGAGACTAGGTTGCTAGAGACGATTGTTACTTCAGGAGGTGTACGTCTTCAACCCACACGAGATGCCATTCAAGTTTTCCTAAAAGAGGCTGTGAAGATGGATCCCCTTGCTCTAAGTCATGCACTGGAACTGAAGCTCCAATCTCCCATGTGGCAGGTATGTTGGTTATGTCGATGTTTCTGTGGAAGTATAATTTGGCATGTGCATAGTCATGACAATCGCACAAATAGAAACTTGCAATTGGACAATTCCTTTCCTAAACTTCAATTTTCTTTATTTTTTCCCCTTTTTAATTGCATGTAGTTTGGGATCACAATAAAGTTCTTCTTTGCACATTTCTTTTCTGGCTGAGGAACTAATTCTAAATATGAATGTTTTACACACATATCTCAATGTAAACATCTACGTCCTTTTTCCATGTATTACAAATATGTGCGTGCTTCAGTAGACAGGCAAGTGAAAGCATTGATTTGTTGGTTATCAGTTTTGTTGGCATTTACATGTATGCCAAAGCTACTTTATACATAGACAAGACCGATTGATAGATGTAGCTCTTAGCTTCTATGGGAATGGTATTTCAGGTTCGTATGAAGGCTGTCTGTGTACTTGAATCCATACTTAGGAAAAAGGATGATGATCATTTTTCACCTATGACATCTTACTTCACTGAAAATAAAGATGTGGTAGTAAGATGTTCAGAATCTGCTCAAGCTTCTTTGAGGGAGAAGGCTAACAAGGTAACATAATTGCATTTTCTTATTCATTTCCAGAGTTTATCTTATGTTGATCTAAATTGTTAATTGCATTCATTTATTCTAAGCATCTTTTTCTGAATGTATATGATTTATAACCAGGAACAGTCTAAATTCTTAATTGCATTCATTTATACTAAGCATCTTTTTCTGAATGTGTAAAATTTATAACCAGGACCGGTAATTTGTAATTAGAAGTACAGAAATCTGTGCAATAGGCCTGGCTGAAAATCCTATAGTTAGATTGATTCATCATGACATTCCACCAGAAAAGATGTTAATATATGCAACTAAGAAACACAAGACGTGTGCCATCAAAACACACAAAGTGATGCAGCATGACAAAATACACATACACTCAGACGTGCATGTACACACAGACCCATATATAAACAACACATTTAAACGTGTCTTGAAAGAATCTAAAGGATTAATTTCATTAGCCCAGAAAGTTCTGTTCAAATATGTCAATATGTTGTATTGACTACTGAGTATTGATTTATTTCTTTCTCCTTATATTTGCTATTGCCAAAAAGGTTCCTTCTTTGTGTAATTACTTTCAAACTGAGTGTGTGACCATTTATAAGCCATTTATTTTTAAATCTAAATGCATTTATTTGTGCTATTTTGATATCATATCCACGTACTTTTTGCACTTGAAGTTGCCTTTTATTTGGTATGTCTAATGCATTGCCAAATGCCCACATTATTAACATGTGGCATCTAATGAGAAAAAAGACATGAATCCATGAAATTTCATTAGATTATTATTATTTACTAAATTATTCATACTTGCAAAGAATCCTCAGTCTCTCGAACCTGATGTAAACCATAAAATATCTGGCAACTCTGTTTCTTGGTTTAAGTTTAGAGAAAGAAGTAATCACCCTTTAGTAAGTAGCTTAATAATGGAATTTTTGCTTGTAATATCTGTAATTAATAAGAATAGCCTAGTAAATGACAGCTTATGAATTAAGAAGCTTTTTCTGAGTTCAATGTTAGCATTCTGCCTCTAATTTGGCGCTTGACCCTTCAATGAACAGGTTCTTGGTCTTCTAGGTGTAGACCAGCCTGACAGCTCTGCCACTAATTCAGAGAAACCTCAGAAGGCTGAGAGTGCTAATGTTGCTGGGATGCCTGACTTGATAGACACGGGTGATCCAAATGATTGTTACGGAAAGGATGATTCTACAAAGGGTTCTAATGATTACAATGTAGCAAATTTTACATCACCGACACCTCTAATTGATGACATATTTGGAGATTTTGGTGGCTCTGTCCGAGAGAGTGAACCTAAAAATGAAGAAGATCCCTTTGCTGATGTATCATTTCATACCAATGAGAGTAAAGAACATGCAGATGATCTCTTTTCAGGAATGGTGGTTTCTGATAAACAGGTTGATAATGTGCTTGGGAATAGAAGCAAGCCTGAAACTTTCGACATTTTGTCTTCCAATTCTGATCAAGAGAATCATAAAGAGTTTGTCAGTGGTTTAATGGCTGATTTATCAATTGAAGAAAATACCTCAAGTACGAAGCAGCAATTAAATTCTGCCACAAGTTTAAATAATCATGGTAGCCTTCACCACCCTGACAACACTTTAGGTGGCATTTTGGCCTCTCAAGCAACTGGATACAATGTAAATCCCATGATTCCTAGTGGTCATATGCCTTATGGTATTCAGACTGGTCTTATGACGAACCATATGAATCAGCTGTATTCTACTCAGTCGCATAATTATGGCGCCATAGGAAACCTTTTGGCTCAGCAGCAGTTCCTGGCAACAATGGTTAATTTCCAACACGTTAATAATGTAAACATGCAGGGTGCTAGTGTTGCTCAAATTGGTGGGGCCGAGGGAACAAAACCTCTGCCAGATATATTTCAATCAAATTTTGCATCTCAAGCCCCTAGCTCAGTGATCAACAATTCAAAGAAAGAAGAAAACAAAGCATTTGATTTTATCTCTGTAAGTAGGCGTATTTACTTATATTATACCTTTCGTTGGGGTTTAATTTAAGGATTATAATTTGCAAATGTATATTTTGAACTGTTGCTCTGGGGAATCAAAATTTGTTTTGAGTTGGACCGTATGAATCAAATTAGTCCTCTACAGTTTGTGATTCATCTTTATAACCGAACAACTTACTCTGGTGTTCAGAACTGTAATGCAGAAGAATAGGTGGTATCAGAAACCTTATTAGCAGATAGAAGCTCCCAGCATCTGTAATTTATCTGGTCAGGGCTGGATGACTATCAGGATGTGGTTTTCTTTTATTGGTGAAGTAGATTTTGATTATAAGAGGAAAACATTTTCAATCTAAGGATGAACAGGAAATTTATATTGCCATAGATACTTTGTCTGGTTTTTGGTAGTTTTTCCTGACCTTCTTGTTTCATGTTTTTAGGACCATATTGCTGCTGCTCGTGATCCAAAGAGAGTGATTTGAAACTTCAAACTCTGATTTTGGTGGCGGATGCTATCAATGGCACAGTGTTGGATTCGACGACATGAATCAATCATGGATATCTATGGCAGAGTATTGTAGCTTCTCATGGATTTGACGAATTGATATCTATGGCGTAGTGTCGGATATGAAGGAAAACATTTTAGATGGCGTTTGAACTTGCCCATGTTGGCGACGTGAGAGTAATAAGATGAGCAAACGTCGGACTTGAAAGTTAGGCGTTACAGGCTTTCTGTATAGATGAAAATGAGCATTGGAATGTTGTGTGGTATTTCAATTTTCCTGAAAATTTGTAGTTATTAGTTGAGTTCTTGCAGCTGTAATTCAGGCGCCAATAGAATTAGCACTTTTACCCCCTTTCCCATTTCATTTCTTTCTTCCCATTGAACCCTACACGAATGGTTCAAACTTCATATTATCAATGTCATACTCTTGTTTTGCCCTATGTTTCTCGCTCACGAAAGCGGTCAATATTCTGGACTTTAGGTTTGATCGTACGACCACAACTTTGATTTTCACTTGACGAGAGTTTGCTGCCACGCTGGAATTGACCATCAACAAGTCATAATCCAACACGCCTTCTACTGTTTAAAAACCATTGCTTTTTGTTAAGAAAAAGTTGCAAGTGGCCAGAATCAAACGCGGATTCAAGTGCCACTAAGGGCACATCAGATGTCACTAGACCAAGAGGTGATTAAAAAACATTAGCAATGCAATGAAATGTAATGTAATGTAACAAAATATAAGGTTGAGGGGCAAATTTACTCATGCAGCTTTCTGCTTGGGGCACCAGGCATTGAATTTTTGGGTGTAAAAGTACACATGAATTTTCTTAAACTGGTGCAAAAATATCACAACTGTTAACTTAATTAACTTAGACTACTACTTCCGGTCTTTAATATAAGAGCTTGTTTAATTTTTATTTTGGTCCTAAATATAAGACCCCAATCTACTTTGTCTCTCATATTTATGTATTTTTTTTCCAAAGTAGCCCTTCTAATAATAAGAGTTTTAGTCAATACACTTGATTAGTAATGATATTTTAGGAAAGACAACACTTATTTATGACAAATAACTAACTTAACTTACTTCCTTAATCTCCTCAAATTAGTCAACTGGCTCTTATAATTAGGATCGGAGGTAGTATTTAACAAACATGTCAACCAAGAAAATGATACAAAAATACTGTTAACTTTTCAAAATGGTATAAAAATACATATAAAGTTTTCATGACCATAGCATTTTTGCAACATTTTAAGAACATATTTTGTATTATTTTCTTGACCTATATGTTTGATAAGTGGTCAACATTTTGACCATTTTAAAAATTTGGCATATACTTTTGTGTCCAAAAAAAGCTTATGATGTTGAGCGATCATGGCCAAATATTTCACAGATAGATTTACATTTTAACCCTACGACATAATATATTGAACAAGAATTGTTAAATTATACATCAATTACATATAATGATATTTTATGAATTACAAAAATATTAAATAAACTTTAAAATATATTACCAATTTATCAAGTTGCAAGCACATGTTCTAAGTCTCTGACCATGATTTGTGAAACTAAGGGAGGCAAATTTTCACACTTTATTTAGATTAAATTTAATATTTTTTACAATTTTTATAATTAATTTTATTTGTTTTAAAAAAAGAAGGGAAGTATGATCCTCCTAAATTTAATCCTGCGTTACGTCCTACAAAATCTAGGCCTGCAAGCTTTGCAGTTGCACCAAACAGAGAGAGGAGTTGAAACCGAAGACAGATGTGTTGGTGGGGTCTACATGTGTTTTGGCCGTCGACATGATGTGTATTGGAGTATTTAACTATTTCTTATCTTGTTAAATATTTGTATTTGCATCACACTTTCGGTTCTCGAAGAAACCGCTCAAATTTTTGCATTTATGCATATGATGGCTTGTTATTTATCTTTTCTCTTTTCTTCTTCTTCGTTTTACGGCTTCCATGGCAGCCCATCTCACTCTGCAACTTTTTCAACTGTTCGACAACTCGTAAGCTTTCCTTCGCTTACTTCTCGCTGTCACTTCAATGTTAATGTGCTTCCCAAATTGTGTTCTAATCGGGTTCATCTTTTGCGCCATCGAGGTTATGGATTCGTTTCAAGCCCTTTCTTGCTACGTTGCGAGTATGATCGTTGAAAATGGTTGATACAGGATTTTTTTTTTCCTTGCGTATTTTTAAAGAAAATGTTAACTAAAGCAATATTTTTGGGTTCTAAGGAAAGTTATTTCCCTTTATGGGTAAATCTTCTTTTAGTTTCAAGAAAGCAAAACAAACTGATTCTAAGGCGCTATGTTCTAGGATGTTAAATTTGGTCTTTTAAGCTGCCGTTGTTATTTTCGCTGGAAAATTTAATGTTAAGCCAGTCAACAAGTCTTTAAGCAAGGAATTGATGCTCAGATCGCAAACACAAGTCTAATCTGGAGTGTGAATTCTGCGTAGCTACTATAAAAATTTTGAAACATACTGGTAAATCATATGTGAAGAGCTTTAATACCTTGCTCTTTGCAGTCACTTGCTCCATGTGATGTATTTCACTAATGTATGTGATGCTTTCTTTGTTTGCGTTCGATGAATATGCAACCCCTGAAATGTTCGTTCACCACCTGTTTGTTCCAACAGAAAATCGTTCGGATTAGATGTCAGAAAAAGGACAGTAGAGAATGCGCTTCTGCATTCCAATCCCCATGTAACAGAGGAGAGAAATGATGGCTTTTCAGATAATAACCTCTTAACTGGGTATTGGTCTAGATGTTACACCGCCGAAAGGAAGCGTTCACTGATATCAGTATCAGCTAAAAATTCTTTTGTTAGTATTGATCAAAGTCAAAGCAAGAGGGAAAGCGATGGTACTCTTACCACAACCAGTAGCCAGGAGATAAAACTTAATCGGGTGAATTGCATTGTGTGGGTACTGCATGAATCTTCTGGGAGCTTTTCCCAAGCAGTGGAGTCCCTTAGGCTACCTGGAAGTGGTCCAGAGCTTGCGATGGCCTGGCTTGGGAAGGATGTTCATGCATGGCATAGACATATTGCTTATCAGGTATGTGCAATAACAAATTCTTTCATTAAAAGATATATAGTTGTACTCTTCCTGTTCCTTTTGATATTTATTAGCCCTATGAATTTGTGATTATGATGCAACCATTTTAATGAGAAGGCTTGTGTTTTCCTTCTTGAATCTATTTATTTTCTGTGTTGAGTATGTTGATCAGCGTAAAAATTGTGTAGTTTGGCTTCTATTAATAGTTAGTATGCAACTCTTGATTTTCCTTCATAGGTTGCAGTTTACGTTTTGATGAAAACAGCAATAGATGTGGAGATATTGCTTTCACATGATCGACAGAATGAATTCTCACCTGTTAGAGAGATGTAAGTCTTTGACGTTTTCTTTTGCATATTTAACAAATTGTATGTTTTTAGGAGGTGCTTTGCTTGTAAACATTAACATTGACAGATTTGATGTGTAAAACCCAAAAATGAACCATGAGGGCCTAGCACAGTTGGCACTTAGCTGGGATCTTTAAACATCTAGTCAAGGATTTGATTCCTGGCGGTGTGTATGGAGAGAGTCTTGTGGCCAATGCTAAAGCTCCTTTGGAAAGTCTATGGTGCGAGAAAATTAATCACTGTTACAGGCAGTGAATAATTTAGACTGAACCAAAAAAACCCAAAAAAGCCTTATATTTTTAAACATCATGCTTAACTAAAAATGCCTTATGTTAGACGGAGGGAGCTGATAAATAGATCATTTGTATCAATAAACATTCAAATTGAAAAAACAGAAGCACTTCACTGATCTGGTGTACCATTTCTTCTCTTATTTCAGATTAACTCCTTTAAGAAATCAGATGAGAGAATACATTGAAAGGCAACTGAAAATGAGGCATCCTGATTTAGTTCAGTGGTTTAGAATCAGTGAAATTCCACGTTTGGCAGGGTATTTCATTCCTCTTCTAAAGAAGTGGTCCATGGAATATGCAGGAAGGTTTGTTGAATCATCTTTTATTTTAGCATCATATTGGACCTTGTGAACTTTTTCCTTAGTCAATATCACATTTTCAAGAAGATGATTTTATTTTCTTTCCCATCACTTTTGCCAATTGATTGGAGGGAAATATTAACCTGACAGATAACTATTCAGCGGTGTTGCAGGAATTATTGTGGCAATAACCTGCTGCACTGCAGTGGTGAAATTGGGTTCTGGGCACATATCCTGCCCCTTACTTATCTCGTCTTTCAAAGGTGTTTTAGTCGAGCTCATGGATCATTCCCTTGATCTTGCAACAGTGGACAAGTTGCACCATTTAGCAACTGATGCGGGATTCGAACTTGATTTCTTGCGTCATTTTGGGAAAAGGATTCTTCCTAGTGAGAAAATTGAGGACCTAGAGTTTTGGATTGGGTTGGCACATGAGAAACTCATGAAAGCTTTCCATGAAGAAAGCATCATATCAAACATGCAAATTCTTCAGTGCAAGGTTAACTGGCTTACATCCTCTACTATAATTTTCCGATCAACATCTGCCAAAGTTTATTGTTTAACAGAACTGACCTGATTATTATATTTAATTTCCTTTTCATTTTCATAAAAGGAGAAATTATCCCTGGTCATGCTTTAAATGATCAGAGGCCTCATAAGTACTTCATATTGTTTATACTTTTTATTATCTTTTACAAGGATCTGTTATTTAGCTTCAAGTTTTCATTCATCATTCAAATAGTTGTTTATAAAATAGCTTTTTGTGGATTCAGCCAGATAGTCTGGCCACTCTGGGACTTTTTGCATACCTTGGGCGAAGAACAAGAATATTTTTGTCAGCAGTGGCCATTAAAGATCTTGATGACATGGTTCAGGATTTTCTCAGGTTTTGTCTCTTTGTTCTCCTGTTTCATTTTAAATATTTTTAATGGTATAAAAATACTAAGAAGGACCAATACTCTTCTTGAAGTTACCTGGAATGTGGCTGCATTTTCATTTATCCTGAGTTTTCCTCCATTCCCGTGTATCAGCTTTTCATGGAGGTTAGTTTCTGTTGGTTCTGCTGAATGCCGATGTTAACTGGCTCTTTTATGTTGATATTGAAACACTCATTCTAATCTATTTTCATATTTCAGTTGGTAACTGATGAAATTGGATGGCTTGATTTTTATGCCTCATATGCTCAAATAAACTGTCAAGAGAAAAGGTCCAAGCCTCATGCTCGCCAGGCAGAGAAAGAGATTATTTTATATGTAGTTTTTACTGTGTGCTATGATATTTTCTCTGGCTTTGCTCACTTCAATCGCTCTACTCAGCAGCCACTGGAGACAAATTTGTTATCATACTTGTTTCGTAGGTAGCTAATTTAATTGGATCAATTTGTTACCTTTTTACTAGGTTACCTTTTCTTGACTAGTTTAAGTTTATTTGTCTTCCTGAAAGAGTGATTTTTTTTTTTTTTTTTTTTTGAGTTGTATGTTATATCTTTTTCTTCACATTCCTAGTCAGGGCTTGCTGAGCATCTGTCTGCAAGAGCACAGAGCTGCTTACGTCAAATCAGGGTATATTGCTACCACCAGCTTCTTTATCCTGTTATTACTTTTCCTCATTTAAACAAATTTCTTAAGAAAGAATACAATTGAGCTTACGGTTCTGATTCGATTTTCAGTGAATCATTTGATATTGTGGACTATGCTGCCTTGAATAATGCCACACCGAGTATTGGAGGTAGAAATGGACACAAGTTATCTTTGGCCTTTGAAGCACAACAAAAATCACATGATTTAACTACAGAAGGATCTCCAAAGAGTTATTCTCAATTTGGCTCTACGCTACATAAGGTATGGTAGACTGTTATTTGTCATGACACCATGATAAAATGGGTAACTCAATATACTTGTGGTTGGGGGGAGCTATTTTTCAAATTGGAGGCGTAAATTCCACTCACTTTCCTTTTCTCTGTCCTTTTTATTTTAAACTTTTTGGTTTCTTTTCCTCTTCTTTAAAGGAATAAGTTTCTCATAGATATATATATTTTATTAAATTTTAGTCGTGCATATTATTAGCACATACACTTAGTTTGAGTCTGAAACTTAAAAATGGTGAGTTTCATTTTCGCAGCATCCTCTGCATGGATTCTCTAACTAATTTTTTGCTGTATATAGGCTCCAATTTTAGACAAGGCAAAATGTCAGCGAGGTACCTGTGTTGAAAAGATAAAATTTCTGTATGAAAGTTTTATCAGGAGATATTGCATCAAGTTGGTTTCCGCAACCACTGTAAGATTATTCATCATGTTCTTTTTGTACATGGGCCAATTATTCTGAAGGTAGGGTGCTAAAACTATGGAATGATTTGTTTCTAGGATATCTGGATGGGTACTCAGTTGCTCTACATAGACATCAAGGTTGCTCTAGAGCTACTTATGAGGCAAGTACATGGCTGCAAGGTTACAAGAAGGCAGAAAAAGAAGCTAGAAAGAACCTTAACCGACATTATCACACTAGTTCCTGTTACAGTTCTGATGCTGCTTCCTGTAAGCAATAATGTGGCCCTACATCATTCTATTTCTATTCGATCTTAGTTTCTGCTTTCTCTTCTCTTTTATGGATATTAGGCCGCCATTAGCTGATAGACTGGCTTCTCAAAAACTCAGGTAGGACCAAAAAAGGATTGGGAGTATGGGTATTTGGTAAATTAAGATTATTTAGGTTCATACCACATGGGGAATTTCAGTTCAGAGTTTCCGTGTTCACAAATAACATTTTATTATTAAATACTTTGTTACTATAAGCTTATGATCGTTATTTGTATTCGTAAACTATATTTTGAGTATGAAGGCATGGAAGTTTCGGCTCTCATAGGAAGCATCGACAGCATTTTTTGAGGTTTCAGGGGCATAGATCATAGGCTGAGACCCAATTCTGAGGATTATCTGTAGGGACTTCTGATTCCTAGAAGAGGTTACTCAACTAGAGTGGTCTCAAGAGAGGGTTAACTGCCAAGCAAGACCGCTGAACTGAGGGAATTCAAACCCCTCGCACACGGGGATGCAGAGGCTTCTGGTCGAAGTCCCTTCAACTAGTCGGGATATTAAATTCCTTAGAAGTTTATGGTGGTCCCTGAATTAATTTGATTCATTCAGTTTCTGATAAAGACTCTGCATGATTGCATTTGGACTATGCTGAACCATAAAATTCTTGTGGGCGAAGCAACTAAGAGATCCTTAGTGAAATGAATACTTCTATGAAATCTTTTACCTCTTCACATTGTTGTTGTTCCATATATATTTAAACTTTTTCCATGGAGTGGTTAGCTTTTTAAAACCAACCTTTTAACTTGCACACACAGCTTACGGTTACTTGGGCTGTTGGGCACCTACTTTTGTATCCCATATGTTTAACTTTTCAAAAATTACCTTAACCTTCCAGAATTACTCTTATTAATGATATCTCTCTTAATATCTCTCATAAATGGGATGGGAATTAATGTTCGCTATGTTCTAGAAAATGCCTTACATTTTGAGTATCTTCTAGAATGTGATTTACATTTTGGGATGGAGGAAGTACTATGTAAACCACTGTTTGACCTGAAGTTCTTGCATGTGTAGATCAAATAAGAACTGATGAACTGTTTCTCGTGTACATATGAAGGTGCTGCATTTCTTCAGAACAATCTCGTTGACAAGTGTACTATTCATTCATGCCAGGTGACAGCAGTAGGCCATGCAGCCATGCTAGCAGCAATCAAGAAGTATATGCCATTCTTAGTAAGTTTTTGTTACATCGTACGTCATTTTCCTTTTATTAATGTTGTACACTGCTGATTGTGGTTTCTTCTATATATATGCATAGATCCCCTCTCCATATTCTTCAGAACGTTTGGATGTTGTGAAACAACTAAAGCGAACTAAAGAAATGGATGATCAATCGTGGGGTAACCCTGAAGATCCATCACCAACCTCTTCTTGACTCGAAAAATTTCATTTGGTTGAGGTTCAAATGCGGTTTGGCCAATTGACCATCCTTGAAACATTAGAGTGATCTCTGACAATCAGTTTTCTGTAAATAGAAGTATGATATAACAAGCATTCTGAGAGGTTACTGAGTGTGTTGTAACAGAAGATACGATCAGATTTGATAGCTTTTCTTTCAGTAAATGGAAAGTATAGGATTATACATATTTATTTATGTGAATTGACCATGTGTACAATTGTGATTTATTTGGACCATTTGGCTTGTCTGGTTTTCTTTCCTATGAATGCACTTCAATGCCAAACAACTAGCAATGTGCCTCTCATGACCAGTGAATCCTCAGGAAATTGTCTTAAATAATTTCCTGCTCAATATGCTGAGCCTCATCAGATAATAGAAAATAATATTTTATAAACAGAATTCAGAATTTAGTTGTCCTGAATATGACATGAGAATGAACTTTAAATTTTCAGCTAATTAACTCCCTTGATTGAGCTCTTATTTTTTTGGGATTTAAAAGGCTAATCACTAATTGTCTAAGGTTATGAATGTTGTTGAACTCGTGACCTATAAAAGAGTTTTTGAACTTGCAACCTAAGAGTTTTTTGAGTGAATTTTACTGTTCAAAACACTGTTAGAAACTAAACATGAACATTGGGAATTTAAATTTTAGTCTGTCACGTTGCGAGGAATTAGTTCCTATTGACAGACTCAACTCTCATTGATTGAAATTTTGAATCAATTAGAAAAACACATACTCACTAGTTAGGACTGACCTTGTTACCTTTGTGTATTTGTGTCATTATGGCAACATGTCACTGGCATAAAAGTCTCTCGAAATTTTCGCTAATTCTAGTGAAGTCTCCCCAGCTAGAAATCAAATAATGCCTTTCCAGTGGAAAAAATCATCCAAAAAATTGTCATTCTATCATTTATTTTTAATTTCTGTGCTCTTTATCGCTTCATTCTGTTTTGTCTGCTCAATCATGGCCCCGGGGGGGGGGGGGAAATCTTTGCCGACAAAGGATATAATAATAGCAATATCCTTCAGAGTTCAGGTCTTGCTCGAGAACTTCACGAAGCTATTAGGTAAGAAAAATTGATTTTCTCACATTTCAAGTTTGTAGAAAAAATTTAAACAGAGTCGTGATATATCGTTAAGTAGAGTACTGATCAAGCTTGAAAATTAGCTAATCCATAGTTTTCAACGTTTTGAGTTTGAATAAAAAGAAGAGAAAATAACAAAAAAAGACCACTGAAATAAAAAAACCATAAATAAGGAGCCACGACAACATTAGTATAGATTTTGATAACAATAATATGGGTTTAGACAACAATTTTTGTAAACCGATCCATGTGTACAATTTTTATATTTCAGCGGTCTTTGTTGTTTGTTATTTTCCCTAAAAAGAATAGTCCTCAAGAAGATATCCTATTATTCAAAACATAAATTATTCTATTGAGGTTAGATTAATAAAATTAATATATATTTTTACTTTCGTTGCTAACAACCTAAAATTTAAATTTAAGGGGCGTGGAAGAAATTTTTTGATGTTGATTTTTCAAAGAGATTTGATTGGTAGAAGTGAAAATCATCATTTGACTACTTGATTAAAAAGACTAAATCTTTGTACCAACTTCATTGCGTAATCTATATAAAAAACACAATAACACAGAGAGGTTAAGTTTTGATGAAGTTTCAAATACTAGTTTAGTCAATTTTAATTATTAACTCGTGAGATTCTCCAAGTTCTTCATAGTAAATTCATATAGGCCAAACTTGCAATAATCACAATTAGCCAATCCATCATTTTCTTATATAATTAATATATAGCCACTAACACTAACAAATGCAATTTTTTTTAAGTAATAATCGATCTGATATGATTACTCTATAGGAAAAAAAAAGTGATTAAACGTTAATTTATATTATATCAAATGTCAGATTATATATTATTTAGCATGATGGGTTGGTGGAAGAGATGGAGGCACTTGATAATTAACATAAAGATACATTCAAAAAATTCTAGAGTTCGTTCATATTTCTCTTTAGGCATGATATGCGACCAAGTGCACTAGCCAATCATATACTGGGAAAAAAAGTGTTGACCTTATACATATACATATATATTTATATAATTAAATTATATTTGTCATTTTACTTTACTTTGATGACCACGTGGGATGGTTGGAATAAGAAAATGATAATTTATGAATGTGTGATGATGGATGCATTAGAAGAGAGAAAGAAAAATCAAAGACGACTTTGGTCCTTGGATACAATAGAGATTGTAAAATAAAATATCAATTGTAAAATGATAATTAATTAGTTCAGATTTATTTAAAAAAAAAAAAGACAATGATATTGTTATTTTCAGAATTCATATTTTGTGCAAATATTTATAGATATCGCTATTTCTAAAGCTTCTATTAGTAATATGCAAATCGTAAATTACTCTTCCGATCCTAAATATAATATCCTTATTCACACTAGTATAAGGGTCTTATATTTAGGACCGAAGGAGTATATCATCATTAATCATTATAATTATCAGCATGGGTTTTGTTACTAAAACATATGTAGACAATTAATTTGTTTTAATCATAATTAGCACTTTATGAAATAGTGGCATTTTAATTTAAGTATCCCTTTTTTGTATCTCTATATATATATGTGATGTCATTTATATATGAGACACAGAGAAGTTGGTTGGTGGAAATATTGCGGTACATGATGAAATATATATAATGGAAATATTTCAGGAAACGTCCATACGACTATTTCCATAATCTAATTATAATTTTTCAAAAAACTATTGACTTTATTTAGTGCAACTGTTTAAATATATCTATATCGGAAATGGAATTATTTTGTCGATTATTATCATTTAATTTTGACCGCCATATTGATATATGTCTTCTGGGGCCCAAAAAAATTTTTCTCCCTTTTTTGGGCGACTGCAAGACAGTGATAACCACCAAACTCAAAACTTTAAATCATTTTTTTAATTACATTGTATATTAACCTCAATTATATATAATAAATATGTAGGGTGTGATAATTGAAGCTTGACCCAAAAAGAGCTTGTCGTGGATTAGTGATATTAGGAAAAACTACTGAAATTCTTTGTTACAAAATAATTTACTAACTAAAACTACTTGAAATTTGTTTAAGCATTTGGATGTAACTCTTCTTCATCTATGTCAGTATGTAACTCATTTTCAACTATATGTATTGTGCAAAACGAAAAATATTTGTATATGACAGAAAATATGTTATATACAGTTAAAAAAATACTCACTAAAGATACATTATAGCTGCTTCAGAACCTAAGTGTTTAGGTATATATTTTAGCAATTAATTTTGCAATAGGGAATTTATATTAATTTTCTCATTATATTATATAGTAATCAACCAACTGCAGTTGTGTATAAAGAATGAATAAAATCTTATCATTTTGATATTGTTGTGCATAAACAAGTCTCACTCTTTTTTTTGGGTATTCAATAATCATATGATTATGATTTTAATTATTGGGCATAAAGAATAACCCCAACCTTTATCACTGTACTTGTATAATAATATTTCTTTTGTGTTTTCCAAGACTATCTCCAGAATGATTGCGTACACACACAAACGTGTCTGTACTCATGATTCGGAAAAATATTTATAATGCTCAACCAGGATAATTAATTAATTAATTAAATGAAATCCAGGTATATTATACTAATTAAATGGGTCCAACTGATGTTACAGAGATATTAATGGTTTTTTTTTTTTTGCCAAAAGATATTAATGGTTGTTAAAATTCTCCTCTCTTTTATTTTTTTCCCAACTTGATCTGAATTTGTGTAAGAGCTGACTTTAATTTGTTTGAATACTTTTTTTTCCTAACCTTGGCCTGCGTCAGTGCTGGTAATTAATCTTAATATAAGCTCAGATTTAATCGTGCATGTGCAACATGTTCTTTTTTTTTTCATTAAAAGGTTTTTTTTTTGCCAACTTCATTAAAGGGTTATTAATGGTTGTTTAACTGCAGGTGGTTGATTAATATGTATAATTAATTCGACAATCTAGGCCAATGTTACTTTTTTTTTTTTTCAATGTTACTGTCACATGCGTGCTTAAAAAAAAATTAGCGAAAAGAAAGACTTTGTAGGTTAGAGAATAACCATAACATTAAAAGGTTAAACTTTTTTCTTTATCACCTAACAAAAGTTAAACTTCCTCATCATAAATTAAGTCAATTTTTTTAATACTCATTTCAACTTTTATAATTATTGAAATATATGAAAATTAGAACAGCGGATGCAACCTTTTCAAATTTATTTATAATTATTGCAGAATTATTAAACAATTGTATGAAAAAAAATATATAATTGACTATTTTATTGAAAATAATAATAATGAAAGGCCAAGTGGCTAGTATAACCTACTATTTATGCTAAGATATTGACCTATATTTTTCTGGGTATAATTTTACAGAAAGCTCGAAAGGTTGAAGTGGTCATCATTTATTAAGTTCGTCTTAATATTAATTTCAACTTTGTAAATTGTAATTTGCTGTAAGAAGCATGTGAAAGTACAACTAATCACTGGGGTTTATCACAATTTATAATATACTACTATTTGATACTACTACGAACCAATTGAGTGAGAGATCTGGAATCTGAAAACTTAATCGCGATATTAAAACTAAGTAATAAGGCATCTCTAGTCAAATTAGAGAGAATATACCTTGTGATTAATTATATTAATGAATATATATATATATATATATATATCCTAGGAAACCACTAGAGCATAGGGTAAGGAATCTTGAAGTGGAATGGATAATTTTTTTTTTTTGAAATGGTATAGTAATAGATTAAATATGTGGTAATTAAGCATTTTATTTTGTGGTATAAAGACTTGACTAGGACGCTTAATTACTTGGTTAAGAATCCAAAGTGATGATTGCCCAAAGAAAATTAGAAGATAAAACAAGAGGCAGTGGCCTGTGGAATGTGAAATTAATTAATTAATTAATTAATTAAGTTAAGAGTGACTGATTGAGAATGCCATCCAATTTGACTCCCAACGGCCACTTCAATTATCAATAATTAAGCTTCCCAAATACTATACCTCACTCATTCTTTTTAATTTGCTTATCGTTAACCCAAATGAATTACCACAAAAATTTATAAAATTTTCATATTATATACACATTATCTCTTAATAAACGCCCTGAATGTTTTTTAATTACTGTAATTACACCGTTTCCTTTTATCTTAAGTAAATAATCTTACAGATTAAGAAAACATGTGATCTAAAAATATCAAGACATAAAAAAAAATGATCTTAATTATATATATTACCATGAAAAATATTCAAGATAACGTATAATGGTTTCGCATATCACCTAGGGACCCACATGAGAAGATTAGATAAGTAGATTAAAATGATGGGGCTAACATAATTCAACACAACGTACACAGACAAATCAAATCGAACAGAAAAGAGAGGGCACACAAGAATGAATCAAAGTCTTTATAAAATTCCAAAGTTTTCCAACAGCATTTAACATATACAGTTCACCCGTCGTATGAATGAATGCCACCTATCTGTTACTTATTATTATTAGCTTATCATCATCAAACGTCCACATTACAGCTCTATATTTGGGTACAATTTTGGAATGAAAGAGAATTAAAAAAAATTAAGTTAGGTGTATTCATTCTCCAATTTAGAATTTCACAAGTCAAGTACATTCAAAATACCAGACAACATAATATAGACAATGAAATTTGGTTTAAAATGGCTGTTTGAAAAGTTTCTCTAGCAGAAGAGCTTGATGCACCTCATTTAATAGATACAATTTTTTTTTAATTGTGTAATTTATTTTTGAACTATATGCAAAAAAATTTAAAACAAAAGTTATTTGTACATAACTAAAAATATGTTACACAAAGCTTAAAAAAAAAGGCGCACCCATTTAAATTCAGGTCCGTTTAACCTATAAAATTTTTAATTTCTCCTCTAATATAATAATATAATGAATGAACAATTTGTAAGATTTATATCATCATCATCATCATTATTGTGATAGTGGAATTGAACGAAGGTGCTTTGCTTTTTTGGGTATAACTAGTGGCAATTATTATATAAATCAAATTCAAGTGTTGTCCCCCATGTTGAACATTACTTCTCACTTTATTTTATAAAATCAGTGAAAAATCATATTATTGATCGATGAGAAGTGATTTATAATGTTTTAAATTAGATTAGATGCAAGAAACAGATATAATTATATAAATGAGTGCAAAAGTTTTACACTTTTTTCAGTGTTTAATATAAGAGTTAATTTGATTTTGAATTTAGTCTTAAATATAAGACTCTGGTCTACTTTGTCTATCATATTTATCTATTTTTTTAAAGCAATCCTTATAGTAATTGCATATATTAAAGGTCTAATCAAATGATAGTTTTAGCTAATATATAATTAGTAAAGGTATTTTAGAAAAGACAATATATCATTACTACAAATAATTAATTCAACAAACTTTTTTAATCTACTTAAATTAATCAACTAACTGTTATATTAATAACTGAAGATAGTATATACACACGCGAGCACACAAAATCATTAATGTAGCTAACTAGAGAGGAGTAAATAAGAGAAACGTTACGAGGAATTGGAATTATAGTAGAGGTAGGTCAAGCGTCGCTGTACACGGAGCGTATCTCTCCTTCCCTACAAAAACCTACCCCCACTCTTACTCTGTTCCTCCTCATTCCCTCACCTCCTTCTCTCTCCTCTCTCCCTCTCTTTCGAATCCTTACAATGACCCTACTCCCCACTGAGTCCGCTGTTTCCTCTGAAACTTCATCTTCCTCCTCTGATTCCAAATCCCACACCACCAGACCCTCCAAAAGACCCCGCCCCTCTCCTTCTCCTTCCTCCTCCTCCTCTTCTTCTTCGTCTTCGTCTCCTTCTTCTTCAAATAATACTACTTCCGGCAAGCTCCCGCACTACCATGGCGTCAGAATGCGAAGCTGGGGCAAATGGGTGTCTGAGATTCGCGAGCCCCGCAAGAAGTCTCGCATCTGGCTCGGCACTTTCGCCACTCCAGAAATGGCCGCTCGAGCCCACGACGTGGCTGCTCTCTCCATCAAAGGTAAGTCTGCCATTCTCAACTTCCCTCAAATTGCCACCGTCCTTCCCCGGCCCGCCACGCCCTCCCCTCGTGACGTCCAAGCCGCAGCTTCTGCCGCCGCTGCCATGGTCGAGTTCGACTCGGTACAGCCCTCGGAAGCGTCGAGGTCGGAGTCGGAGTCAACGGAGTCTTCAGAGCTGAGTGAGATAGTGGAATTGCCGAACATAGAAGAAGAGAGCTTCCACTCAGACGAGTCAATGACCGAGTTCATATGGATAGATTCAGTGGACCGTTGGGTGTTTCCGGGTATGGGTATGGGTTTGGATGATTCAGAACTGAGCTCCATTTTCTCGCAGCAATTCTCAGAGGAGATCCCACTCTGGGATTAAAACTAAAAGGCAAAAAAAAAGAACAATAAATTAGTAATAGAATTTTTATTAATTTATTGTCTAATTAATGTATATTTGAGGAGTATCTTATAATTTGTTTTTTGGGGGTTGGAAATTGAAAGTTGTATTTGTGTTCCAAAAATGTTGGAGGATGATAACTGACAATGGAGTCACCAATGGCTGGGCTGTTTGGCTATCTTTGCTCACTGGTCAGTGTCATTTTCCGTTGCTGTATTGTACATTACAGAGTATATATATACATATGTGGCCTGGTCGGTAAAGTAGAATTTCTCAATAAAGTAACCAGCAGAGTTATAATATTTTCAATTTGTACTTTACTTTGTTCACTGCAAGACAAAATTAACCTTGCATCTTGCTCATTAATGCAATTCCGTAATTTTTTTCAAAAGAGAATTTCAATAGACATCTCACTAAACAATTCATATTAGTTAACTTTCAAAAAATTTTAAAATTTTATGGGTAAAAAGACAAAAATACTCTTACTTTAATTTTTAGGTTGTGAATTTTCTTATTCTTATAAACGCGGAATATTTATGACTTTATTATAGGAATTTAATACATATATTGTGACAATGCTCATTACTTTTCTAAGTAGTTTGTGTGTTAAATAAGTTGTCCCAACTCATCGCAACATGTTACATATGACTAACCAACAGTAAACTAAGAGAACAGGCGAGGTTTAATTAATGTCTGGTGATTAGTCTTCTCAAGCCAACAGAATATTTTTTTTCATCCAGCAACTGACAATATTATTATATTTTTTTTGCCAAAACACTTTATAATTAATTAATTAAGTTGTTATATTATTATATTTATATCCGTTATTTGCTCATCATCAAGCCCTCATTTATTGAATCTTCCACCTACACTCAGTCACTGTGGCATGTCGTTATTAGATCTGACATCACACAACAATGTGGTGGACCATGATACCATCCTCCCACTTTGTTTTTTCTTTTGGCCAATTTTCTCTCTACACCTGTTTATATTTATATATATTATTAAATTTATATTTAAAAAACTATTCACAAATGATGGCTGGGCTCACTGAAATTGAATAATTGCCTCTGTATTTATATGAATCTTGAGATGAGTTTCACTTTGCAACTAACTTTGAGATAGAAATGTGATTTAAAGAGTCATAATTTGGGTAATTTACTTTTATTTATGTTTTACTCCCTCCGTTCCTTATTATAAGAGACGAATAACCGAATTACATTGATAAAAAAAACAGTTAAAATTAGTTAAGAACAATCAATGTGTAAAAAGTATAATTTTTTTTCCAAAAATACCCTCATTAATAAGGAGAGAGAACATGAAAGAGAATAATGGTAAATTATTAAAAGAAAGAGAAGTGGGAAGGAGAGAGAGTGTGAGTTGGAGACAATAAATATGGGTAAAATAGAAAATCAACACAAAAAAGTAGAGACAACTTTTAAATGTCTCTTATATATAGGAACATGCCATAAGCATCAAATGTCTCTTATAATAAGGAACGGAGGGAGTAGTTTATATGGGAAAAGTGTTTAATCTTATTTGGTTTAATGTGTCAATGTTTTTTTATGATTTTAATTGGTTGGGGGGGTATTGGGACAAAAAGAAAGGGAAAAAAAGGAAGGAATAAAGGAGAAAGGAAAAGGGGAAGGGGAGAGAGAAGAGAGGAACAAAGAGAGAGAAAGTGGGTGAAGAACAAAATTGTGAGAATTTTGGGGATTTTGGAAATTGGACCGTTGGAGGATTTGAAGTTTCGTGGCGTGTCGTTTTGGGAATAAGCCGTTGCCCATTGTGAATGTTTGAAAATTCCTCTAAGCGGACAAAACTCAAGTTTGTATTTGTATTTGGCGTTCGCACAAACTTTTCACTGTGTCTTTGTTCAACTTTCATGACGTTGATATGATACTAGCTAGCTAATATATTATTAACTCTCATCAAAACTTTAAAAATAATAATAAGAAAAAAAGTAATTGTTATACGGATGTTGATCTTATGGGATTTGTCTACGTAGGGGAAAATGACGGTGAGGACTTTTTTGTAAGAAACAATAATGATGTATTTGGTACGAGGAAAATGAAAGAAAGGGGCAAGGAGAAAAAATCTTAATGAGTTCAATTTAAAAAATGGGGTTAAAAATTTTAAATTAATTTTTCTTTTTTTTAATCTTATATCTTTTTTGTATCAAAATTTTATAACCCTATTTTTTTAATTTTTTTTAAAACCAAGCTCGTTAATTTTTTTTTTTCTGTTTCCTTTCATTCCAATGCCCTCATGGTGAAAGGTTCAAAATATTTGAAAATAATAAGGATCAAGCTTACTGTTATAAGAAAAATACTAGTGGCTATATAAAATGTTATTTATATGACCTATCTAAATTAATTAATATATCATGAATGCAGTTGGAAATCCTTTAGAATAGTCAAACTCAATGTGACAAAAACTTGATCACGTGGTACTAGTTCAAGGTTTTTCTTGGAAGCAAGTAAAGGAAAGCATAATGTTTTGAAAAGAAAAACATAACCGTTCGTAAATCTTTTCTCAATTAAAATTTTGACTAAGAGGAATTCAGTTCTTATAAGCTACCTCCAGTTCTAATTATGAGATATCATTTGTAGTTTACAAACGAGATCTTATAAATAGAAATAAAAAAATTATTAATTTAAGAAATTATATACGTGGTGACTGAGTTATCCCAAGCCCAAAAATAGTAGGGACTGAAATATTATTTCAAATTAAAGTACAATGGCTAAATTGAAAATTAACGAAAAGTTCATGACAAAAAATTTATATTTTATGATTTTTTTTAAATAAATAAAGGATCCTAATTGGTATTTTTAAATTTTAGGATCCTTAAATATTATTATCTTGCTGAAAAGATGAGAGAGGGATTTTTTTCATGATTGTAATTCATTGCTTTATTTTGTAAAAAAATTGGGATTTAATGACATTTCCCCAATTTATGGGGCTAAAAAAATCTCATTCAATTTCTCCCCAGGTGTACGTATTATATACCCCATTGTCCCAATCCCGGTGTTTTAACGTTTCAATTTTGCAAATGTTTCTCAAAGTCAATAAAGTATAAACGTAATGCACACTTTATATATATTTTAAAGTAAATTATCCCAGTGGCAAAAAAAGGGCTTTATCCTCCTTTTATGAAAGAAATTGATTTTTTATAATATTATTATTTCTTTAAATATACTAATTAGACTTTGTCTGACATATTCCAACTAAATTTTAAAATTTAAATAAAAGTGACCCAGTGGGGAAAAAACTTGCAAAGTTGATGAGAACATTGAAAAGAAGTGTAGTACATATAGTAATTTAAGTTCCAGCTATATGATTTAATAGTTTTGCACTTTCACATTGTTTATTAATGACTTATCCAATTCAAGCGAGTCGTATGGAATCCGACGTTGAACTTGTTTGGATCCTAAAAAGAAAAAAACAAAAAAAAAATTGGAAAGGAGGATGTCATTTTCTTGTCGTGTTTCATGTTTAGTGGGGATATGAGACGGAGGAAAAAGAGAAATGAAAGGAAGAAAAAAGAAAAGAATACTGCTTTTAATATTAATTTTATTAAATAGGCCATTTTTCTTTTCGTTTTTTTTTTAAATTAAACATTTGTATCCTTTTATTAAAGATCTGTTCAGAATTTTATTGGGTACCAAATACAGGTATCTTCCTAAGCAGGGATTCAAACTTTAGCATGTCACGTCGTAAGAAATTAACCATTTTCACTAAAACGTAGACCTAATCTCGTCTTGATTGTCATTTCTATTTGATTCTGAATAAAATGTGTAGGGAAATTTAAAAATACGTTGAATTCACTATGTAACACACATATACACAGTTATTGCTATAATTTAGGTTATTTAATAGTTGTCTTAATCTATATGCATAATTAGAGAAAAATGGATATTTTGAAATACAGGGATGATAAACTAAAAAAGGGAATTGTGTGTAATAATGTTTTTAGTTTTTTTTTTTTACCTGGAGTGTGTAATGATGTATAAAACAAAGAAAGTTGCGAAACTTGGAAGTAACGGAATATAAAATTTCCTTGCCTTGCGAAACCGGGTTAACTTTCCTTAATTATCTACCGTTAACACAGTTAATTTTTGTTTATATGGATTGCTAAGAAGGACTGACATAGAAATAGTACATGATAAAATGAGAAAAATTTTATACTTAAACGCGTGAGGTTGAAACGTGGAAGCCCTAAGCACGTGGTTGGACTAGGGCATCTGAAAGAGAGTTTGTTCGTTTACACTTTGATTATTATTCCACCAAATCAAAGTTCTTATTAACGTGAAGCCATTTTTTGGTGGATGGGTGAGTTTCATTTTCATTTTTTCCCCTTCAATTTCGTCTTCCTTGAGAATTAGTTGATGCGTGGACTTGCGGTTTTGTAGTGAAGTTTGACAGAAAAAACACATAGCAGAACAGAGACGATAAAAATCGACATTGGTTCATAATTAAGAAACTTTTCGGTGCTTAATGAGTAGAGATGAAAATGTCTCAATAAATAAAATAGGGATAGTGTAGAGACAAAACTCCGCCTATATTGTATAGCCGGTCCTAAACCCGGATAAAGGAGGAGGGTTGTGTTAGGCCCTCGACAGCCAACGTAAAAACTCGTCGAATCTCATGAACATGGATCAACGAAGTAATATAGTGTAGAGAGGAAATATGATATTATATCTAAAAGTCAAATCAAAACTCAATAACATTATACTCCTCCGGTCCTAATTATAAGACCCAATTGACTTATTTGAGGAGATTAAGGAAGTAAGTTAAGTTGGTTATTTATAATAATAAGTGTTGTTATTCCTAAAATATCCTTGCTAATTAAGTATATTGGCTAAAACTATCATTATTAGAAGGATTATCTTGGAAAAAAATGCATAAATATAAGAGAGAAAATGGATTGGGTCTTATAATTAGGACCAAATAAAAAGTCAAATTGGGTCTTATAATAAGGACCGGAGGAGTACTTAGGAT